TATTGCTCAGGAAATTGCAATCCCCAATCTGCAGCTTGAAAAGCATGTTGCCATGGAAATGATGCTTATGCTGTCGTAAATAAAAGTATTCCAGGGTCACCAGGGTCTGCGGCATAAACAGGGGCACAAACATTGCCTGGAAAAGTGCCAGAGTGCTTTAAACATATAGGAAGATAATTTTAATGGTATTTTGCTTTCACTGTTATCACCAGAAGGACTGATGAAGGTTAACACATAGCTGTGACCTTGGCACAAAAGCGAAGCAGAAAAAGTCTTGGCTCCTGGTATTAAGAGTAGAGAAAACTGTATCACAGCTCTCCTGGCCAGTGTTCCCCAGCTCAGTCAGAGCACTGTTCTTTTCCCACTGCATCTCTCACACATTCAGCAGTGAAATTTCATTGTATGTTCAGGGCACTTTATTGGATTCATGAGCACAGGAAAACCAGTTGATCCTGTGAAATGCTGTGTCATGGACTACCTGCTGATGCAGTGAATATTCCCTGATTCTCTGGCTACATCCCACTTACAGCCCAAGAAAACATAGGAAATTGCTCTTTTCCTTGGAGGGGAGACACTTTTGAACAAGATCCCAGCTGAGGGAAGGAGCCCATGTGCCTTTCACTGCTCCTGTGAGAGAGCAATGGCAAACAACTCCCTGCAGAGCATGGACACAGCTCTAAAGGAGAAATCCAGAGGCCAGCAACACAGAGGGTTTGGATGTGTTGGTTCTTGTGAGTGTTCATGAGGAAAGCAGGCAGTTACTGTTTCTGGTGGGTTCTTAACTGTTCAATGGACTGCTCAATGGCATTAAATGGGCCATACCCTGAAGCTGCCTTGGGCAGTATCAGATCAAGGATACACGCTTTTCTCTGTGTGTTTTTAATACCCACACAAGCATTTCCAGCACAGGCAGTCACTTTAAATAAAACTACAAGAGATTGCAAATGCCACAGCTTGCTTATTTACTTACTGTCTCTTAGTCTGCCCAAAATGTGGAAATAATGTTTCCAGAGATGCTCAAATTCATGTGCCTGTTGAGAATCCTGGCTTCTGTCCTGGATGATATTGCATATTCAAGGGATGATTCACTCACTCCTGAGAGGGAGGAAGGACTGTACCAGCTGTACCACCTTCCCGTGGCTGACTGACAGCCTGGTGATGTTTCCACAAGGAAGCCTCATGCCTCCAGGTTAAGCCAGCAATTATGGAACAAACAAAAGAGAAGTGAAATGGAGAGATGAATCACTGAGAGACCAAACAAAAGAGAACTGGAAAGGTGATGCCAAAGCCAGAATCACAAAACAAAAACAAAATCTTCATTTGTCTCAGCCCAAAATGTCTAGAGTGGATTCTGCATTTCTTTTTTGTGTAAATCAACAATGTTCTTTGCCATCTGCAAAGGGAGGATTTGGGAAGGACCAGCTCAGTTTTTAGGGCTTTCTTACCTCACCCCTGTGAGAGGCTGGTAAAACCTACAATCAGCAGCCCTTGGTTAAAACCAAGAGGACCCAACCCTAACACTCTTGACTGCTCCATAAACTGACTCAAAAGTCCAAGAAGTAGGTTTTCTCCTTTTGTACTCCAGTTTTTAAAAAAGCTTTCATCCCTGTTGGGACAGGAACTGTGTGGGATCTGGGGCTGATACCATGTGCATTACACACCTCAGCATGGATTTATCACAGCAGGGCTGGCCAGGGCTTTGAAGGCAGCTGACAGCTCCCAGCTGGCCAGGAACTCACTCGCGTGGCCTCTGCAGCTTCCTAATGGGAACAGGGTGGAAAACCTGGGCTCAAAGGTTGCCCAGAATGACTAAGAGAGGAAAAATCCCTCCTGCCACTCCTGTGCTAATCAAAGGGGTGTGGAGAAGAAGTTTCAATTCCTCACTGCCAAAGAGGAAAATAAGATAAATATATATGTGTATATATATAGAAATTACACAGCCAATTCCTGTATTAAGGAAGAAGCCTTCGTGCCATTAAAATCAGTCTTGAAATAATCATGCTGGTGGTGTGGGGAAGCTGAGCCAGATAGTCCAGGCTCCCTTGAAATGTCTTTCAAACAGATCTAATCTGTTTACTCCTGGGTTTTACTGCTGGCAGTACCTGGGACTTCGCCTCTGAGATTTCCTACAGTTTGTGATCCCAGCAGGTCAAAGTTCCCAAAGGTGGGGAGAAGAGAAAAGGCAATCCCTTCCCTGCCTGTAGCAAAGGTATGTGCCTTGGGGCTACTAATTTAGGACCAACGAATCAGGAATAAGTCACATAAAACCCGTCCAGCAGTGGTGTTTACAGAGCAGCTCCTCTGAGCAGACAAAGGCGTGTGCCAACAGGGAAAGTGCCCTGTAGTTTGTGTGGCTATTCCAACAGCTTTTGCAGAGATGAGAACATGTTGCCAGGGAAGCAGGAGCCTGCACAGATAGAGGTGCCCTCCTGCTCTGTACAATGGGAAAATGGAGCTGCCCCTGCACTCCCCGCTTTTTGTTTTCCTCTTTGCAGCTTAAAAATAGGCAGAAAAGGCAGTTCTTCCAGAGGCTGATTAATGGCCCTTCTGCACTAACTGCATTTTGCACATATTTAAAAATCTTGAGCTAGATAACTCTTTGACCTAAAATATAATAGGTTCCTTTTTTTTTCCTGATAGCGTCCAACATTTGTACATTTTCATACCTTATTTTTGAAGCAAGTCCTTTCTAACTTGAAGAACAAAGTGGCCAGGCTGTGGCTGTGGATGTGTGTGCACCCCCTGCACCTGTGTGGCTGCTGGCTGCTCTGAGACATCACTACCCCAGCTCTGGGGCTCACCAACACATCCCAGACCAGTGGGAGAGATGTCCCAGCCTGGCACCAAGAGGCCCAGGAAATGTGCCCAGCACAGCTCCCATTCCCATGGGGCTGGGGTGATCAATGTCATGCCCTGCCTGCGAACCCTTCCCCAAATTTTCTGTGTGTGTGATGTGAGACCAGGTTATATTAAGCCCACTGCTGAAAGGAGCAGGGACCATGGCTCCCATGGGCACATAGCAACTATGCTACAGAAAGAGTGAAAAATTCAGGGAACAAGTGGCACTGTAATCCATCTTACCTACCCGGAATAGATGTATCCATGTACTGATCTCTATAAACACACCCTTTTCTCCATATGGGTGGGTATATATTTATATGCACCAGCCTCAAAATACCAGTAAGTTTTTATTAGCCCCATTTGCAGATGGGGTGATGATGACAGACAAAGTGCTTTGATCCCTCTAGGCTGCTTCTCCTTGGGAGGGGAGAGCTGGAGCCCTCTCTCCCCAGGAGAGGTAACAGAGGGAGGCGAGTTCTCCCAAACCCCCAAGGAGCTCCTTGGTGTGGTGATCTTGCTCAGCTCTCACTTGGAATCGTGCTGGCAAATAAACATGAAAGTGAAATCAGCATTGTGAGATAGTTATGCAAGAGCGGGCGGATCCCAGGACTCAGCCATTGTTCCAAAAGTTTAATTAACATTATGAAAGCTGATTAAAGGAAAATCTTTAACCTCCAGGGAAATCCCATTTTCCCTCACTTCCCATACTGCTGTAATTTTCACAATGTAAGAAGGAAAGTGTTATTTCAAGGCATGATTCATATCAGCTACAACCTGATCTTTGCCACAGTCATGTCCTGCATCTTAAATAATCACCAGCAGTGACACCAGACGGGGACACTTCTGAGACAGCATTTTTCCCCCTTTATCCCATGACCTGAATTGCCATCATAATTTCTAGACTTTGTGTCATCCTGGCACGACAACAAGCGTTCACCCACGCTCCAGAAGTAAAAGTTGGTTTCACAAGGACAGTGATACCTACCCAGACACAGCATCTCAGATACAAAGTGCGAGTGACACGCCACAGTCCAGCGTGGTAACAGCAGGGGCTGTTTGCTTTGGTCACCACAGCAAATTCCTTTGAAGGCAGGAGTGTGGAGCACCATCCCCAGTGACTCCCACCTAACCTTGAGCCAACTACTTAGCCTTGCTGCTCTTTTGGAATTGGGGGCAAAGGCAGTGTTACCTCTCGGGCACTGCAAACTCATGAATATAACCAGGCACTGGAGATGTTTACGTGGAAATTGCTGTTGTAAATTAATGTTAGTGGAGAGATTTGCTTTCAGCTGCAGTGGGTCTGTGAGCAGGCACAGCCCCCTGGTATTCAGCTGTGTATGGATGGCACATGGCCTCTCTGCTCCTCCAGGACTATTTTAATTACATGGCATGGCCCATCAGAGACCTAATCCCAGGATCTAATCCTGGAGGCAACAGACAGCTGCCTGTCTGCCCTGTGTGCTCAGAGAAGTGCCCTTGGGGCTGCAGTGAGGGTGATGCAGACGATGGGAGCAGGACAAGCACCACACAGAGCAGGTACCAGCTCAGGTCACCCCCTGGCCAGGGCACCACCAGCTCCTTGACCTCTCTGACATGTGAGTGGCACTGGGCAGACCTCACAGCCCTGGGTCCTCCCTTGGTTAACAAGAATCTGGGTGGATGCTGCATCCACAGACCTCCAAATCTAATTAAGAACACACATGGCTCCAGTCCTTTCTGAGCATCAGGCTTATATAAATACATACACATATAAATACATGGTACAAATACAGCCTCTGGCAGCAGGAACAGTCTCGTACTCAGATCTTCAACAGCTCTTTCCATCTGTAGATCCTGCAGGTCAAAGACATGGAAGAGCTTCAGGAACCATTCTGAAAAGGGGAAAGATTATTTTTTCCCGCTGTTGTCTGCATGTACGTGATACAAAATCCATTTTAATTATGATATAACAGGGTCATCCTCACTACTCTGACTCTGAAGAACAGGCACCACTTTTGTGCACACAGAGATATTAGTAAAGCAGAAGCTCTATTTGTAGGATGAAATTTCTCCTTCAAAAAGCACTAGAAGTAAATCAAATTCACACCATGAATACCAAATGCATGGAATTCTGACTCAATAAAAGGCAGACAGCTGAGTTTTCTGATAAAAATGTGCCTTTATTTTTTAAATTTTTCTTTTCATTACCTGGATTCTGTGTTTGTCAGAGCAACAAAAACAAAACATAGTTCTCTTTGATACGCGGCAAATCTGAAAACAATCCTGCAAACAGCACAACACAAAAACTCCCACAAAAAGGGAAAGCTATAAAATTTGAGAGGCGACGAGGCTTTCAGAAGTGCCAGTTTCCCAGTGCAATGGCTGGAAGGGTGGCCTGGCCTGGCGGCAGTTCAATCATTTTGTAACGAAGGACAAATACTTTCAACATCCTGAGAAAGAGGGCGGGGGGACGGGGGCACGACTCCCTTGCTTTCCCTCCTCCTGCTATTCTTTCTCCTCCCTCCCCCCACCCCTTGGATTTTCAATAGCTCTTTAGTGTTTCCATCAAAGGCTTTTACCATTCATCCTCCCTTCTGGTGCCTGCCTTCCACCTGTCTATCCATCACAGCCCTAACCCAGGTCCCTTTTTTTTCCCCCCCCTTTTGCTATTTTTCACGCGGTGGGATTTGTTTATAAGCTTCTGTATTACCTAAACTGCAGGGGAAGAGGCTGCTGGGAGGAAAGTGAGAAAGCAGGATTAAGGAGGAATAATTCAGCTCCATTGCATTTCCATCTGAACGGTCATAAAATGTGCAAATCCTGTTCCTGGGAATTTTGTGTCAGAGGCCTTCCCTGCCACTGCCCTTCCCGTAGCCCTTCTCTCTTTCCCCCTCATGGAAAAACAAATGTTGGGAAGGATGACTGTGACTCCACAGACCCCAAAAGCCATGACGTGTGTGCCAGCAGGGAGGAGGCTCCTACCAGCACGTGTGCAGGGAGACACTCCAGATGTGGCCAGAAACTACAGACAGTGGGGTGGGAGGCTGCAGGGATTGAATCCAGCAGGACAACAGGAGTGAGCAGGGAAAGGCTGCTCAATATGACAGCTCCCAACACCCTCCAGCTAATTAATGAGCCTGGGTAAAACACAAAAATAACCTCCTAGGCTTGTTGGCTCTCTAAGTAAATCGTACAGAAATATGTGATTCAGACCCCAGCAGCTTGAAGAGTTTCTACTCTCTCATTTTTAGCTCATCGCCATCACAAGGCACCAAAATAGGCACAGACCACATTTCCAGACCCCAGAGAGCCACCAGCAATCCACCTGTCTGCAAACTGGGAGACAGAAGAAGGGCCACTGCTCTGTACAGGTCAATGGAGATTTGTCACCGATTCAAGCAGAAGTCACTGTGACCCCTGGACTACCTGACCAAACACTCTCAGGGGAGCAAAATTTTAAATTTTAAATTTTTAATGTTAAAAAAGGAGGTGGCCCTTAACCTGTCCCCAACCCTTCTGAGCCCACAAACCTTTTCTTGATGGAACTTCATGTCATGTCTGCTGGACCTGGCAACAGCTAGCAGCTATCTTCCACTTACAGACACATCCTGGAGATACTGCAGATCACTCAGCAGGTAGCACATGTCAAAATAAGTTCCTTTGATTGACAGTTATTTATTATTTTTAAATAAAATGAGAATAGATTGAATGGGTTGCTCAGCAGCAGCTCAGTTCTTTGTTTGGCAACTTCTTGGACACTTTGACCATACATATGACAACACAAAATAAATTTCACTTGCTTGCAGTAGCAGTTGGCTATAAATTCAGTCTATCGATGATTTATAGCTCTAGCAGCAGTGGGATATATGAAATGAGAAGCCCTTTCATCCTTGAACTGCTCTGCAGTCTGGTAGAGATGATGAAAGCCATTGTTCCTAAGGCCAGAGGAGAGCAGGAGTTCATTCAGCTGTGGTAGGAGGAGGTGTGCAAATTGGGTCCAAAGGTGAGAGGAGGCCCAGAGACAGAGCAGCCCTTGGTTTCGAAGAGCAGCCAGAAAGAAATCCTTAATGATGCTCCAGCTTTGCAGGCTGGAGGGGAGCAGTATTTCCATCAACTAAATCATCTCAACTCTTTGGCTTCCCTGAGGGCACTGCACCAGGACAGACTGGGATTGCTCAGCAGAGTCACTCTCAGATGTTTGTGTTCTTCCCACCCACCAGCAGCCCCGACCTGAGCGTGTCTTTGGCACAGCAGGTGGGATCCTTAATCCTGCCCAGGGCCAGCCCCAAGCAAAGATTAGCAGAAGAATCTGTTTTCATTAAAATCCAGCCTTCCATCACCATCCTGCCTGATGGTTCAGTTTAAAATGCACATGTCCAGCTCTTGTAGCAGCTCTGCTTCTGCAGGGAAAGGGCAGTTCAGCAACCTGCCTCTTCCCTGGCTAATGTCTCTCTTCCTTTTCATCAACAAGTAACTAAGACAGACACTCTGAGGAATGTTAAACGCACCTCCTCCTGGAGAATTTTGCCAGCAGGATCAGTGGAATTGGGATTTTGCCTTTATTATGTTTCTTTTGACCGTGGAACTGGTCTGATTTTCCTCCCAGTGATTTTTTTTTTTTTAACCCCACAAAACAACAAAACAGGAGAAGACATACAAATAAACACTAATACGTACAGGAAAAATACAAAACTTAGCACCATGCACTCCCCTCATTATTAGACAAAGGTTGGGAAGGGTTCACAAGTGTAAAACACTCATGTGAATTATGAGATTACTGCTCAGTTTTCTTTCAAGTCGTGGGCTGGAAACAGATGGTGGCTGTAGCATTTATGACGGCACAACATGTTACTGCAAGCCTAGCCATCTCTCTCTCTCTCCTCTCAAAAATGCAGCTGCAAGGAAAGTTGTGGAAAATCACATTAATAGTCTCTTCCACCACACAGTTTTCCAGCCCTTCATCCCTGGCCAGCACATGGACAGAGCCATCTTGTATGCCAGCAAGAATACTCTCCTAATCCCCGTCCTGAATAGTTACCACTGACTGGCTTATTTAACAGCTAGTTAAAATGTGAGGTTTGTTAGCATTGTAAAAAAGCCTCCAGAAAGCAGGTTCTTAAGGTCAGGGCAGATGCCATGTGATCCCAAGGGCTCCCTAAGGGAAACACTCAGAAAGAAGCCATCAGAGAGTCTTTTAGCTGTTTATTATTTAAACATTCAGTTCAGACCAAGCAGGTTGATTTATAAAGAAGCAGAAAGACAGATAAAACAATTGCTAAAGCATCTTTGTAACTCAGGAGTCCAAATCTCACTTCCAAGCAAGAGTAGAAACTTTTACAAGGGCAAAGGCCTCTGGATTTTCAGTCAGAGAGCCTTCCAGTGACCATAGGCTAAGAAGGATCTGGGGCCCTGAAGATACAAAGAGCAACTAACCCCATATTTAAATGTCTTGCCTGAAGACAAGAAAAAAATGTCCATGTACTCCAGTTCTGATGGAAATGCCTTGCTGCCTAAAATATGTTCATACTTGGGCTTAAACACTTGAACTGAGCCTGGGGCACAAACCCTCCACTCTCAAGGCACCACAGAGGACTCTGCTGACACCAGAGAACTCTTCAAACAGTACAAAACTGTTAACCTGTGATTTCTGTGTGCTTTACAAATGGAAGCAATCCTGTATCACATCTTTTCTGAGAGAATTAACTCTCTGGGATTCCAAAATTGGGATTTTAGAATTACTTCTTCACTTGAGTTAATTAAGACTCTGTCAAGTAATAATTTTTCCAGATAAGTGTCACTGGTGTATTGGAGTGTCCATGCTGCTATTTTCACTTTTCTGGCTTCACTACCTGGTTGGGAACATCAGCACCAACTTTATGTGTTCATCCTTAGCCACTCCAGCGTGTTCCTGCCAAGCTTCCTGCACCCAGCTGCACACAGGGCAGCATTTCTGCCCTCTGGGGTGTAGAACAGGGCAACTGAAAGCAAGATAGACTTTTACCATTCCCTTTATCACTTTTCACAGCTAGACCAGGAAGTTGCCACAGAAATTCAATAGTGTACACACTTGAAACTCCAAATAGCCTTTTGCCAGAGATAGACTCTCTCCAGGTGATATGACCATACATATCCACTGCATATCTGTCATAACTGCAAAAGCCCTCAGACCTTTTCTCTAAGATAGAGAAGGTGCCATTTCATTTTTCTTTTGGAAACCTCCTCCTGCAGAATTCATTAGTATCCTATGCAACAATGTACTTCCTGTAAGTACTGAAATATAAAGTGTATTAGAAGTTTCCACTTCTGTTTTAATCTTTTCCTGATCTAGCCTGAAAATTCTTTTGAAGTTCCTCAAAGTGTTCTTCATATATGCTTGTTTTAGGAAATACCAGATCACCATTGGCAAACTTCTCCTTAATTAAGTGAGATAAAGGAATCAAGATGATATGATCTGCTTAATTCCCCACCTTTTTTTGGTCCCATTTTAGGATTTTTTTTTCCCACTTGCCTTTGAAAAGAAACATTCTGAAGAAACTAAGGAAGGGGAAGGCCCAGAGAGGGCAAGCTTAGCTCTGGGCTCTCCAGCATACCTGAGCTTACTGGTAGGAAACCACTGAATAAAGCTCTCCCTCATTACTATGGAATGGTTTATTGAAAGGTTTCAGACCCTTCTGAAACTCACATCACTCTGGACAATGCTTAAGAGGAAAAGACTAAACTGCACTGTGTTAGCACAGTGTGCTCCTTCAGGCCTCAGCTCAGCAGGCCAACTCAGATCATGCCTAACTTTAAGTACAAGTAACTTCAAAGAAACATTTCACAGGCCTCAAGTTCAGCTCTGCACTGTCTCCCTTGATGAATCACAACTTAGGGTATGCAGGGAGCTAATGGGAAACATTTGCACTCCCTAACCCCAGCTGCAAGGTCCCAAAACCCTTTAGCTAAGCAGGCATGGCCCAACCACTCTGGATGGACCAGAGGCTCATCACAACAAATGGGTACAAGCTAGGCAAGCTCTTCTGAAGCACTTTTACAAGAAACACATCCCAGAACAACTAAACTTTGATTTAAAGGCAGTATTTGGGGCAATCAGTGAAGTACACAAGCTGAGCAGCAACCTGTCCGACTCCTGTGCGGCCTGTTGGAGAAACCGCTCTATGTGGGATAAATGTTTCTGTCACTTTTGCTGTGGAAACTCCTTGCAGTCAAGGGGAATTAAGATCTTGGGCAGGTTTCTGAGGAGCTTCCTGGCTCCAAGGAGACCTCTGAGCAGAATGCTTTACAGTGGGTGAGTTTGGGCCAAGAAATGTCTGAGGGGTGAGCCCTCAGGCCTCACCCACACTGGAAGTGCTGGAGCATCTCTTCTCCCTCTCTCCCTCCTCCTCTGGCCCCATACAGACTCCACCAGCAGCTAAGCAGGGCCCAGAGGTGAAATCTGGCCTTTTGAAACTTCCCTGGTTTTCAGATTAAACCAGCACCACCTTTACACAGAAAATGCATGTAAAGCCAAAGCGCTAAGCAAAGGTGAAGCTTGGCTGAAGTGAAGGGGCTCCGCATCTGAAATGTCTGAAAACCAAGGTTTGAGTGCTGTTGCCTGCACATGGAAGGCAGAAGTCACAATAACATCATTGGGTCAAATTAGTCTCTCTTCAGAACAAAGACAGAGATGTTCTGAAGCCAACAAGTGTTTCATGAAAGTTACGTAAAAATGAATTAAAAGTGGATGCCCAAGTCTCTTAGACTGATGAAAAAATTCCAGCTAGGGATATCCAGCAAGTCTGGAGGGGTCCTTCATACTTCACTGAGGTCTAAAAGTTTGAGTTCATCCCCAAAGGGAGCTGAGGCCACACAGCACTTTACCCACAGGCCCTCTGTGAACAGAGTCTTTCTTGTGGTCAGAGGGGCTATCTTGAATTTATGTCTTACTTCTCCCCTTGTGAGCAAACAAAACAATTTCTATGAGTAATTCTACCCACTAAATGCCAAGGAAAAGTCTGGTAAGAAATGCTCTGCATTTTTGACAGGTCAGAGGCTTCCCTAAACAAAGTTGCTGTTATATGTTTTCTATCAGCACATGTTCACATCCGGGGTCCTCGCTGAATTCCAGCGTGGATGAGTCTCTGTGGGAAATTGCTTTTCCCTATTTTCTTGTTCTAACTGCTCCAGGAAATGAGTCTATTTTTACAACAACACTAAACAGCAAAATATGAAACCATTATCTGTTTCGTGGCAAGAGTTTCGGGTCAGTTCTCAGGTAAGTGTAACCTCCAGAGAAGTCAATGGAGTTGTATCTGCTCCTGCAAGGCAGAGACCTGACCAATTATGTAATTGGTTGATCAGTTACCAGAGCACAGAGCTACCACAGGCCTAAGGAGTGTCTTGTTTTCATGCGTCTCAAAGTTCATCCAAGCCCTGATGCATTGATAAGTGAAGTATTCTAGTATTATGGTCTGTAAAGATGATAATTAACTGCTAAAAGATTTAAGCATGAGCCTTCTCTATGAACACATACTTTGTCACTGAATGATCCTTATAAGTAGTATCTCTACTGGATCCTTTTTTCACCTGCCAAATAAACCAGGGTGGGATTTTCAGAAGTGTTTAAAATGCTTTTCTCCTACTTATTTGTGATTGCTTTCAAGAATTAAGATGTTTTCAAAATCCCTGGGGATTTCAAGCCCTGTAGGCTCGACTGCATCTCTGTGCGCTTCTGCTTTTTGCACACTTGATTTAACAGCTACTCTGAATTCAAAGCTGGACAGTAAACCCAGTTTCCTTCATTACCAAGATCAAAGATAGTACATAGAGGCCCAAACACCAAGTCTGATCTGAAGATGAGTGTGTAACACTTGTCACACTTGGCCTCCTTATTTACTGGTTTCAGGGACTACTCCAGCCTTCACATGTGAACTTCTTTTCTGTTGAAGCACTCAAGTGAGCCTTTTTTGTATATTTTATCTAAGAACTTGGGAGACATCTGGCATACACAAGTATCAGTCCAAACAGAAATTCTTGAGTTGCTCAAAGCTCAAACCAAGTCAGATTTGGTGGCCTGCTAGTAAGTCAAACATATAAATTATTTGATTTCTCTCTACGGGAAGAAGTAACCCTGGAAAAATGTGAGATTAAATCTTCAAGTGACGGAAATTCTATCACCAGGATGCTCCCAGAATTTCATCCACTGATGATGAGCTAGACTAAGAGTTAGCACTTTCTTACCTTCAGGCTGGGAAAGAGGTACTCATGACTTTCCACCTAATTGGAAAGCTCACTAAACGTCACTCAAGACCAGCATACAGAAAACAAACTTAGAGACAATATCTAAGGAAAACAGAACCTAACCTATGACTTGTTCTTTGATTTACAACTGTGATTGTGGGCCCCACCTCACAGTCATATGCTGTGGCAATAGGCAGCAGTTCAACAAGAACCAGTCCTAACTTTTCACATGTTGCAGTGATTCTGAGCTACTTCAGCACATACTTTAGCCTGATGCAGCAAGTAATTAGAATGACTAAAAGGACAGGTGGCATGCCACAACTGAAAAAAAAAGAGTGATCGAGCCTTTGCTCTTGTTTATTCTACCTTTCTAATTCTTTTCTTTGTAAACCAAAAGTTGCCAGATTTCACATGAAATTTGCTCTCGAAAATTTCTCAAAATTTGTCTGTTATCAGCACAACTGTGAGTTTTCAAACTATATTCTGAGGTACCCAAACAGATCATCTGAAATGGGCTCACTGGCATTAGCAACTGCAGTCCTGAATCCACCCATGCTAAGAAAATATTTTCCCCAAAAATAACAAATATGTAATTCAAAATGGCAACCTACATCGGAGCAGGAGTGGCACATCCCAGCTGTTTTCCTAGTTGTATATACAAGCTTTGTTACTTCATCTTTGAGGTTGCTTACGAAATACTTCAACACTCTGAGAGCACAAAGACCCCCAGCCCACAACTGGGATCCTGTGTCAGGAAGGCACACACTAATTAAAAAATAAAGCATCAACTCTGCTCCATTTGCCTGAGGTCAATGAGATGTTTGTCCAAACCTAGGAGTATGCTCAGGCACCAGTTTGAAGATGAGCAAACACAGGCATCTCTTAAAGTGTTTTTCCATGTTAGGGCCTGGGAAAAAAAATTCAGATTGAGCCCATGATAAAAACAGTTCCCCATGGAAAAGTTACCCACACCATAAAAGGAAGGAATGACACTGAACTGAAAGAGAATGAAAATTGTCTACTGAATTGTTGTGAATTCCCATAAAATCTAAGTCTTGCTCTATGTGCATAATTTTGACTGTAAGTCATGAAAGGCTGACTCCTAAGAGAAGCAGGAAATGACTGGCTCATGATAGGATAAAAGGCTGCATAATTGCATGGGCAGAAAGATGGATTTTCATCAATCACTACATTCTCTGACAATATGGCAGTGGCTTTTGATCACGTATCCGATGCACAGTAATTAGGCAAAATGACTTACCCTCAATCTTTTCAGTATTTAGCTCTAAGGGTGCAAGGATTCATTCTTGGAAAGGGAAGATGGTCGTGTGATTTAGGGCACTGGATGAGCACTCAGATCTGAGTCCTCTCCCTGGTTCTGCCACAGCCTTGCTGTATGACCTTGCACAGGCTTTTCTCCATGCCTCGGCCTCGCCTAAAATGGGATAACAATAGTTCTTTATTTCAGAGGACATAGGGATACAAACCAGCTCAAGGCTGTGCCACAGAGATGCTACAGCAAAGAGCAGCACAGAAAAGCTCAGACATGGAATAATGCCTTGCTAATAAAATGTGGGAACACAGACAGTAATTAAATTGAGTAATAAACACAAAACATAAGCTGATTTTTGAGGAATGCAACACTGATAGGCTTTGTACCTGGAATTAAAGGAAATTTAAATGGGATTCGTGTGAGTTGACCTGACTGAGATCTGCCAGCAGTACAAACTGTGTATTAGAAACACCAAGGAAATTACTTCATTCAAAACCTCTACATGATGTCTGTTTTAGAGCAACCATGATTTCCAGCCCAAGTGAGGGTCAGATAACTACCCAGAACATTTTCAAAGCCATAGGAGGGGCTTACAAACATGATTTCCTTCGATTTACTGTAAAATATGAGCATGCAAATCTGAGGTAATTTTGAAACTTCAAAATAAAATCTGAAACATCCAAATTAAAACATGAACAGGGCCGCTGATCCTAATCAAAGTGTCAGATATCTGGAACAGCCTCAATGCCACTATTCCAGCATCACACTGCTGCTGGAATTGGACAGCGCTTCAGCAAAGAGTCTTCAGTAGTATTTTTCCAAATGCAAAGATGAATCTTTTTCTCTAAAGCATTTGCCTTTCAGGTTGGGGGTCAGTTATGGGCCTGTGGGTCTGGGAGAGAGGATCTTAGGGCACATGCCTAGATAAACCAACTGATTTGGAGACCACCACCAGATCAAAGGCTGGTATGACAGGCAGGAGGAGAGAAAACCGATATGAGACACATCTTAGGAAGGGAAAATCATTTCTGAGACAGAAACAAGAGGGAAAAGTCAGAGAATGGCTGGAAAACAGCCCACAGAAAGGCAATATGGACCTAAGGAGGACAGGCAAGTGGAATGTTGAAGCCCATTGGAAGGCGGATGCTGTTTCAAGTAAGAGTAAAAAGCCTAAACCCAAAGTGCTGGAGCTACCTGAGAACCTGGGAGAGCAGCAACTGCCTGCAGTCTGCTTAACAAAGCAGATGCCAGGCAGGACAGAGGACAGGAGAAAAGGAAAGCAAACTGGCACACCATTCCTGGTTTCATTCAACAAAATCAACTGAAGGACAAGTCTGGAAAGACAAAGCACTGAATTAAGTGTAATGAATTGACTAAAGAATCAGTGACCATGCACCATATTGTAATGCTGAGATTGGGTTTGGGAGGTCCTCTCTGAATGTCCTTTCTGATCAGACAAGACCTCAGAAAAAGACATAATCGGACCAAGAAGTTTGGATCCTTGGACAGAGGAAATGAGTGCAGAATCTAAAACAGAAAAACATTTCATCCCCAAACTGCTGCCTACAATGTGGAAGGACAAAACCAACAAGGTTTTAAAGCGTGGCATGGAAGTGCAGCTTTTGATAAGCACCACCCTCGGCTGCGTTAAGTGCCCTACTCACCCCCCACCCCACAAATCACAGAGCTGTCCATCAGATATCTTGTGGCTCCAACTGCTCACACCTTTCCCTGCAACACTCCAAATGCAGCACATTAGAAGTCCAGAGGGAGTCCACCTCTAGCAGACAGCAGAAGAAGATATGACACGGCATTCACAAATGCACAGAGAACTGTTTAATTTACAGCCACAATGGTGAAACAAACCATTTCAGAGCTTGGACATTCAAAGTTAAGTCTGACACTCATTCTTATATTCACTTATTGTGCTTAAGTATTAGAGAACACAGGATTACATTAACCATACACAACAATCTGAGATCCCTGCGGGACCGAGGAGTGGAAGGGATGAGCAAGAATGAGGGACCAGCCCCTCAAGTGGTGTAAGCTGGTACAGCTCCATTGCAGGCAAGGGAGCCATGGTGATTTACACCAGCTGAGGATATGGCCCTTGAAATGTCCAACTTAACTTTGAATTAACGACTCCCATGTCACAACCTTTAGTGTCACTGTTCCTTCTGGTTGTATCTGCCACTTGGAAGGAGGACTAATCCCACAACCCACCACAGCCCCCAGGCTGGCGGGTGAGAGCTCAGCTGGACTACAGGAAGTGATGCTCGTGTCGTGACACTACTCCTCACAAGTTAACAGCCATGGACTGCATCCTCATCTGATGTAAATTAGCTTGGGGCCACCTGAAGTCAGAAACATTTGCCAATTTATAGTAGCTGAGAACATAGCCCTGAGAATTTTGTGTTTTCTGCCACATGCTGTATGAACACTGCGCTTGACAACAAAGACTCACGTGCGTTTCGTTCCTCATAACAAAATTAACTCAAGACTACAAGTCTCAAACAAACGCTATTGGAAAAGTCCCCATTCAGTCTTCACTCTCCCCTGGTGTGCTGAATTTGGCATAACACGTTTATTTGCTGGCACCAACAAAACCTCTTGGTTTGCTTTGTTTTCAAGGCTTTGCTACAAGGCCAGATTCCCTCGTGATGTAAATCAGATCTCCAGGATACCCAGGGGAGTCACTCCCAAAGAGCTGGCCCACAAACCCAAACACAACCTTCTCATGCAAGTCTAACCACAGGACTCTTTCCAAGAGTTGTTTTGCAAACTATTCCACTTAAGTGACTTTGACATCCTTTCACACCTGCACAGTGTCTGAGTGGGTCACATAATGCTTTTCATCTACATGATTTTAATGGATATATGTTTGGTTTTTTTCTTTCATTAGATATCTTTTAGACAAAAAAAAAAAGGAACGGAGCAACATTATTGGCATCCCACTGAAACATAAATATATAAATTACATTTTATACACTTTTTTAAACGCAGACACATACATTCATGTGCATAACATCGTGAACAGTACACTTAGTGGAAAACAAGCACAGACAATCTTAGTTAAATGTATTTCCAGTTTTGGTGCTCAACAAATACACTGGGAAAATGATCACAAAATAGAATGGTGACTAACTCTATCTCTGCATTAGCATCTGAAGCCAATAATGCCTGTTAGCTAACATTGCTTTGTTTGGTTGAATTTGGACATAGCTACAGGAACAGGAGGGGAATGTTTGAACTATATTTAGAGAAATGGAAAGGTTAAAAATCTCTCTCTCTTTTGTTGTTTTAAGGTTCTGCAGTTCATTCACATTTGAAGATATTTTTATTTGAGTGGAAACACTGTCTTCAAGACAAACTTTTTTGTTGTTCCAAACTAAGAAAACTCTTTCATCTCTTTGTAGATGTTTCACAAATAAAAGAATCCAGTAGTTCATTTTACATATCCAATGTAATAATCCAAATAAAACAAAGGGTACATAATCCAAACTACTGGGGTGGGGCAGTGATTTTGGCCAAGTGAGTAGCCATGTCATATCTGGCACAGCCCTAAATTTCCAAAGCAGTACAGAAGGATTTATCCATGTGGCTCCCACTGCAATCTGTGGGGAACTGAACATTTAATCCTTTGGCACTTTGAAAATAAAGGAGCTGGTGCCAGAGTATTTTATCTGCCCTGCTATAGTTAAAATAGATTTTGATGTTATTTGGGCTATTCTACTACAAAAATATGACCACAAAATGCTTTTTTTTCTTTTTTTCTTCTTTTTTTTTTTTTTTTTGGTTCAAGAAAACATAGCAGGCTTTCTCAGGTATATAAAACTGTTAATTTTTAGATAAAAATACAAACTTCACCTTTACAAAAACACATATTTCTGTTGAATACACATAAAGCATAACATTTTACCAAAAATAAAGAATTTTAGGTTTTGTTCAAATATTTGCAGCAAGGTAGTTCCCATGCCACCATGACATTATACAATGCAGATACAAGAATTTGTACATTTCACACAGCTCCAACATGTGAAATAAAAGTATCTGTATACTGATAAGAATGACAATTGCTAACACAATATCACTAGTAGGCAACTGGCATAAGTCTTAAAGAAAAAAAAAGGATTTTTGCATGGATATCCTATGATTTGTTTACGCACATCTCTCTTTTTTTTCTCTTTTTATTTTTTTTCTTTTATGTAATGCTTTAAATTACGGGGGAGGTTGGGGAACATAAACCAAGAAACGTCTAGAAAATTATGCATAGGTATACCATTTTTATTTTAATACATCTCATTAGTTTGCATCCCACTAGGAGAAATACCATAATGTTTTGTGTTCTGCTTATTGTTATACCAGTCTTTTATATGTGTTATTGGCAAATGTAGTCCAAGAGATAATAAAAAGCTAGGCAAAGAGTAAAAAGAAAACTTAATAATCACTTTATGGTGTAAAAAAAAAAATCCACTTAAGGCTCCCCAGAAGGTTTTTTTGTATAGACTTTTAAAACACCACCAAGCAAGGATGTATTGTTCTATAGTGTTTGCGTGGCATTTGATCATTTCATACATTCCTGCTTTTTTGTGCCTGAAGTCCACCAGTGTCCATCCATCTTCATCAAGAACGCAGGCACATTTCTTGACGTAAAGCACCGTTGACTGCTCTGACAGAAATCCACTATTCACTTAGATTTTTGTCATGTTTTTTAGTTCTTTTGGTATCCTCCATTCATTCAACTGTCTTTTTTTCTTTTCTGTTTTTCTTTCTTTCGCTTTTTTTTCTTTTTTGGACAGGGAAGCTTCCTATTGTTTCACAGAGTGCTACAATACTTGCTTTGATGTCACATTAAACAAATGTACATTGTCTCTTTGTTCTCATTAAGTGTTCTTTTGAGCCAGTTTTTTTCACACAGGAGAACAAATAAAGTATACAGTCAATAAGCACCATACATAGTAGGTTCAGGAATGTAACAAACCATGTACATCCATGTCCCAGAGAGAAGTTTTTTTTCTAGCTTATTTTCACCTTACATCTGCAGGAGAGAAAAAAGATACAATAACTCTATGATTAGAATCAAAGGTCCTGTCCTTGAAGTAGATGACTTAAAAAAAAAAACTGTTCTGCATGAAGAGTCACTAACCTGGGACAAGAAGTTCTAAATGCTGTTTTGATTGAGTTTACATGCTCACTTTTAAAGTTGAATTTTAGAAAATCTTTGCTTCTATCATACTACTCCCAATAAATACCTGTTAATCTGAAACAGGATATCAAGTTTAGCATTCTTTAGAAATGATACATTGGTATAAATGAAAACTGCCACTGGGAGTTCATGTGCAAAAACAGGGGCTTGAAATTAAATTCACCATCATCCAGGCGTTAGACACAGACACTGCAAAATCCAAATCATTCCCACTCCAAATACCAGAATCAATTGCAAGTGCTGCAGTTTACATACTTTCAAGTCATTAAGAAATGGAAATTCCATATTTAATTTGGAATGTGTGTCGCCATCATCATACATTGCTAATATGTTGGCCAAAGGATTTCAGTCATTTTTGCACTGAGAGGGTGTTAGTTTTTCATTACACTGAAAACCTCATGAATTTTGATGACTGACTATCATCATCCTACTGAGACTGAACAGACCAAAAATAAAGATCTTAATTTTCTGGTGTAAGTAACACAGGACTCTGCAACACACAGAAAAAAAGGCATTTCTTAGTATCTTTCTGGTCAAGTAAGCAGATCATCAGACTGCGTCAGGTGCATGTGCAATCAACCCCAGTTCATGCCAGAACGTGGGTTTGATGGTCACACAAATAATAATATTTGCTGTATGTGCACTGAATGTTTCACAGCCAAGGACTGGGAACACAATGATTTGTAACCTGGAAATTCATTCATGCATTATCACGTGATGCTTTGACCTCAGAAATCAATAATAATGAAACACAAGCAGAGGCAATGGAACTTGAGATTTCAGAAGCTGAAGTATTAGCACCCTCCAATAAAAAAGAAATCAAAAAGGCAAGAAAAGGAAGTAGCTCAAGAATGCAAGATGCTGATGGTGATGTGGAGCTTAAAGGGAAAATACCAGCAGGTAGAATTATCAAAGCCAATCAAATCTAATCTCTTTGCAGCCTTCAGGTAGCAAGTGTCAAGATTTTGAATAGTGATTAAGTTGAAGTGATGATATTTGATTAAGTTTTCCAGTACTTGTGCTATTAGGGTGTTCAGCATATAGGTCCTACCTGAATATCAAATAGTTCCAGTAGGTTTTATGTTGGTTTTAACTTTTTTCGTTTCCGTTTTTTACCTGATTCCCTAGGCCTTCCTGTTAACATAAGGGCAGGGCTGGTGAAAAGCCCTAAGGTAACGCATTTCGAGTAACACTGAAGTCATAAATACTCAAACCGTTTACATTTCCAAGAAATCTCATTATCCTTTGCATTAAAGTAATAACTTTATAACGTCTGATTTGACATTGAGTTTACAAAGTAATTACACAAAAGTAAAGAAATAATAAACAAAGTTGGCATTGCCCACGTCATTCCCAGGATCCATCTATAATTGCTGTTACCATGCAGTACTCAACATTTGCCTTCAGCTCTGGAGTTGAGCTATTTTCAGCTCACCATCCACTTGCTTGGGTGCAAGTTTTGCTCCTATCAGTAATTAAATCCTAGAAATATGCATTTTTCCATGATAATTCTGCCCCAGTTTTTACACATATCAAAACCAAAAATTTTGATCTTAAAATCATAGCTGCTTAGTCTATGGCAATTAAAGACAATGTGAAAAACTGATCTAATGAAACTTTTTTTTCCAAATGGGAGACATAGAAAATGTATCAAACCATACCCACATTTAAAAATAGCCACTTTATGTGTAGTTTTGTCTAATAACTCCACCTAGTTTCAGCTAAACACTCAGCTCTGATGATAAATTGATGTCCAGTAAAATTGCTTTTATAGAAATTCTAACTCCTCTGCTCTGCACATAGCAACAGAAGTTTACATTTGCTTGGACCAGGTTTATGTCTCCCTGCTGGATGGAGCCAGTACAGAAAACCCTTCCTCACCCAGCCACCTACAAAATCTATCACCTTTGGGCAGCTTTCCTCCTATGTTTAGCTGCTCTTCACTGACTTTTTAATTTTGGGCTGGTTCTACTGCACCCTTAAATTCCCTGCAGAGGTGCAAAACAAACTTTTATAGCAGCCTTCAACCAGTATCAGGAGAAAAGGAAATGTCTTTTCTACCATAGTGGGTTTCCTGAATAAGTGTGCTGAGCTCTGCATTGATTGCACTGTGGTAAGTAGATCAGAGCCAATGATTTTTAGATTAATTTAGAATGATTTTATGAAAGCCAGGTTGGAAGTAATTTTCCCCACAAATCTTTCCCCACTGTAACTCAAGGGTTGTCTTGACAAGGCAAATTTAGGTTTAATGCCACAACTGACAAATTCTTGAGTATACATCTGTAAAGAAACAACAGGAATGAGCAATGTTGTTTCCAAACTAACTCCTTAGCTCTGAATCCTGAATTTATTCCCAAGTGCTTTACATTAATTTCATTCATATTTTCCCCAAGGTCAAGTAAATCTCAGTGTTATCCACAAAGTCTAAAGAAATTAGGTAACAGAGTTCATCCACGAGCTGCAACATGACAACCTTTAACTTAGTGAAGCAAGACCTGAACACTGCTGGTCATCTGTATTTATTTAAAGGCCAACCTAATGAGAAGTGATACACATTAAATTTTAAATCCATGCTCCTTATACAGCACAAACTAGCCCTCATTTGGCATCTTCAACACAGAAAAGTAGCTGGGAGCTTCTCTACTCAGTTCACTGTAAGCAACGTTTGTTTTACGTTCTTTACTAAAATAAAAATGAGGTCCATATGAAATCAGCATTAATGCAAAAATAAAAGGAAAACATACCAGTTTCTTCTTCTCTATAATCTGAATTAGTATTTGATGATGTACAGGTGCATTCCATATGCTCTTCTAATCTCACCAGAACTTCTTTTAATTTTGGCTTTTTTCTAACATACTCCACTTTTGCCACCTATAAAATACGATGAGGTATGTACTGAGACACATCAACAAGGTTACAGTTCAGAACTGAAGACAGATAACTATATGCCTCTATTTTTAATGTAGCCAAACCCATATAAAATGTTAGCATACTAATCATCTTTTATCTTAATTGTGCATCGTGTAACTATTTATTGCACAGACTATTTGTTTATTCAAGTTCAGTAGTTCGAAACAATTTTCCCCCAAGAGATAAAACAATTTCCCATTCATTTTGGTTTGATGTTTTAAGCAACTCAGTTTCCACATGTATCACAATAAACTTCTATACAGATTCAAATCAGTGGTTTTTCTTGTAAACTGCCACTTTTAGCACAATCTTCTGTAGGTGTTGTTAAAGGCTGACAGTGAAGGCATTAGATTGGTTTGTAATACATTTTATTATTTACAAATTGGTGTCTCCAGAGCCCTCTGAATGTGAAGTGCTCAACCCTACACGACCAGGATCTGGACATCATCTTAAAAAGCAGTTTCATTCCTACTCACCCCCTGCAATAACCTGGGGCTTGTTCACAAGAGCTCTCAAACACAGTTTTTAAGTCCAAGGGAACTACCACTGCTGAACTGGGTCCAGCCTTTGGCTTTATTGTGGAAAGCTGGCAGACAGAATATTTCTCCCCAGTCCTTCAAACTGTTCACAACTGCACTGTTCCACTTATGGCATCCTTAAATAAAAATGTCTGGAGGGCAAGTTGAGGTTGGAGGAAGGATCATGCTGGAGCAGCTCTGGCTACATATGGATCTCTCATCTTAAGGAAACCAAGGCAGAACAGAAGGATGTTGGGGTGGGGAATTCTGAACATCCTGACTCACAGGCTGGCAGCCAGGAGAGGAGGAATGGCAGAGGGGGCAGAGCACTGATGTTCTGAGGTACTGAAATGGCTCATGGGATGCTGGGCACTGACTTGTGCTAAGTGTAGTGGGCATGATGGTCAGGGCCATGCAAGGGAATATGGCCTGATGTGGGTAAGGAGAGAGCTAGAGAGTTTGTAAGGGGTCCTGTGTTCAGCTCTCAACTGTGTTGGACACTGCAGAATAGGTGCTGAGCATTTGCTTGCAATGGAAATCACTACAATTAAATCATGGCTTCTCAGACCTACTCATCTGACAATTGGGCACTGCAGTGTGGCTGTCCCAGCAAACAAGAAGACTACAAGTCACAGGGATGCTGTATAAATGAGGTGAGGGAGCAGAAGGACAGGGCAGGCTGGTTGTCTCTACAGAAGTTACATGACAAAGCCATAAAGGCTGGTCCATCCAAAAGCTCCAGTCACTACCAAATAAAGCATCCACAGTGACACTCCCAGCCATGATCTCCTTGTGTGTTTGGTGGGGATTCAATGCTCCATATCAATCTTCACACTGTGAAAATCATTCCCCTGCCCTTTCAAAACTGGAACAGCACTGTTACAAAATGAGAGTGGTGGTTGGAAAAACCCATTCTATGGCCAGTTCCCAGAAAAACTCTTCTGGCTCTGGGGTCACAACTATCAAGGGCCTCTGAATGCCAGTGAGAGAAGCTAGAGCGAAATCCTGGCCTTTCTAAAGCCAATAGGAGATCTAAGCTTTCACAGAGCAAGGAGTTCAGATCCACATTTTAGTCACTACCCCTTGTGTCAACAGGATCTGGAGATGATTTTCATTTCATCCAGCAAACCAAAGTTACAGAGCCAGATGCAATAACTAAAGTACCCACATTAAAAGGTATATTCTGAAACTGTCAGCTCTCCATGTAAACAGATTAAGAGCTGGCCATGACATACCAGAACACTTTATCTGAAGCACTAACTATGGGTTGAAGCAGTTTCAATATTTCCTATCAGAACCCAGCTCCATCAAGCCTTTGAACACCATGATTGGAAAATGTATGGTACAACTGAGTCATCTGGCGTCAAAGGATGACTAATCCTTAAAATTTATGAAAACAAACAGTAATTAAGACACCTCCATCATCAGAGACAAAGAAAGGGACCCAGCAATCACAAAACAGCTCTCAGATCTGCCATGCTTATTACAGCTGTTAGAATAAACCAGTCTCATTGAAAATTACACGCAACAAAAATAAACTGTAATCAAGCTTTTAAAAGCCTGTCCTTGTTTCGCCTGGTTTTTCAAACTGAAAGATATATGCAGTTCCTGTGGCTATTTGGTATTAAACAACAGTTAAAAAACCAGAAACTTTGTGGAGGATCATAATGAATTTATGCAGCAATTTGAAGCTGGCTTTTAGTGCTGTAGTTAAAATACAATCCAGCACACGTTCCACTGCCCTACTTCACGCTACACAAGTTAAAGGAATTTCATTTTGTAGATGTTGCAAATACTGGAAGTGAAGCAGCACAAACCAGATAAGCTGCTGTGTCTGTGTCACCTGTTAACACCTGCTGCCACACACAGTGCTGATCTACAGCGATGAAGGCTGCAGGTCACATTTTCAGTGGGTATAAACAGGGCTAGCTGTGCCAACAGCATGGGATTTGGCCTTGTGTACAGATGGTTTTTTCTTCTTTGTATTTTTCTCCCAGGCACTTAGATTGTTTCTCAAGTGTATTACACAGAACTTTGAGGTGGTCCGTCCTCAACAAATCAACAAGCTCCTTTTACCTGTCTCTAATGTAACAAAAATAAAAATCCTCAAGCCCTCCAGATCCAGAAAATATCACTACATAAAAACTCTTTGAGAGCAAGACAGTGAAATAAGTGATTAGCTTCTCAAATGGTATATAATCAGTGACACCACCCTTGCATCAGTGCAGATTCTAGGTCTACATCCTGCAATACAGTGTGGTGGCTAAGTAAAAACGAAAATACAATCTGATAAAAATATGTGGGCTAATGGAAACATCATGGGAACACTTTTTTTTATAGATTCTCCAGGTGAGATGAAATCAGAGATTAATAGCAGGAAAAAAAAGCAAAACTGTAAGCAGAAATGTCCAGAACACCTCCAGCATGAAGCTAAAATTTATCATGGGCAGGAGCTTGCAAGAGAAGTGTCAGCACAGACAATTCCTCATAACAGCAGAACTCATGTGCTGATACTTAAATACTGAATGGAAACAAGTCCAAAAAGCAACTGAATGAGGATACTTCTTGGAATCATCTACTGCTTCCATACTAAAATAACTGTGTGCTGATACAATGGAGGGAAAGCCTGTCTGCGAGGAAGATGTGAGGGACTAAAGGACTGGGGAGGCATCAGGAGCCTTCAGGGCGTGGCAAGTCAGTGCTGCAGGGACAGGAGGGCAGGAATGGCTCTGTGGGATCCCTGTGTCCTCAAGCAGAGCAGCCAGACCCTGTCAGGCTGACAGGGCTTCCCATGCTCCAAGGGCAACTCGCTGCTTTTCCGCCTTCACCTCTGTCAGGGTTCCCTTTGTTTCTCCTTTTCCTAAACTGACCTTTGATACCTGGTCCTGCCTGCAATTGCAGTAAAGCCACAGCTCAATCCAAGTGCTGCTTATCCCAATGGCAGAAGAAAAAGGTTATTGAACCTGCAAATGTGACATACAGCCATTTCACCTGTACACCCCATGTGTTCTGCAAGGCCTTTTCAGCCCTCTCTGAGGCTAAGTAGCTCTGCTGAACAGCTCATCCTGAACTACTAATTCAAAATTAGTAGTGTAGGCAGGATTTGCTCCAGAATACTAATGATTTTCTGCTTCTCTGACCAAACTCACCAAGAACAACACCATGCTGAAAAAGCCTCTTGGGAAGACTCTTGTTCAGAACCCCCCAAATAAATTATAGTCTGGTACTTGGTAAGTACTGAACTCACTGGACAGAAGCAACAGGATCTGTAGATGTTACTGAAATGCTTTTGAACACAGAGGAGAAAATCTCTCTGAAACAGACACCAACACCCCCAAACACCCCTAACTCCCCCATCCTTGTCACCATTGCTCTATGAGGAGAGAAATGGAATCCTTTCCCTCCCATCAAAGAGCAGCTCCCATCCAGCCTCTCCATCCCAGCCTGAGTTCTGCAGGGCTGTGCAGGTGCAGTTTGCTGAACAGAGATGTCTTTAGGACCAGAGCTCACATGGGCTCACTGTCACCAGGCAGGGCAATTCCAACTTGCACTAATGAAACCCACCCTGTGAAAGGGAAACCTCACAAGACCCATTTCAGGGAAGCTGATCCACCAAACCCCCTGGCTTGGAGCCTCCCTACAGCTTCAATTCCACATTAATGGTATTTCACTGATGAGAGCTCAGTGAAGACGAAGAAAGGAAATCCCTGAACCCTCCAGCCTTTGAATCATGTCCCAGGAATGAAATGCCCCAACACAAGCACCTCCACTGCTCCTCCCACACTGCCCCAGCCATCTCTTAACCTTGACTACAGTGGCCCTCAGTGAGACAAAGAAAACACCCTTTGCTTTGGCCTGTTGGATGATGCAAACCCACTTGCTGACCTTTCTGGATGAACATTTTTCTAGTGTGAATGGGCCAGCTATGATCTCACTACCTTGTCAATGAGGAGGAAGTGGGGAAAGCCTTTTCAATGTTCCATCAAAAGAGAGCTTTTATGCAGTCTGACATCAGGGGAAAACACAAGCTGGCTTTCCAATGCACTGCAGCTGAGAAGGCTCTCCAAAACCGCTCCCACCTTTCCAGGGACCCTCGCTCTGAGCCAGCTACTTAATGGCATGAGCAGACATTCAGCTCTAAACTTAGGATTGGCAAAAGACTCAGAAAACCATCAATTACATCAAAGCTACAAGGGGATCTGACTCTGGAGGGCATAAATATGGATTCTGTTCTAAGAGTTCTGGTGTTACAGTGGGGTCAGCCTACAACCTTTACAATGAACATCCTGTTCCTGCTTGACCTCTTGTCCTTTTTTTCCCCTGCTACTTAATGACTGTTTGGAGCAGTCTTGGAGCTTGGAAAAAAAAAATGTCCTCCAAAGCTGGCTGACGTATATTGATATTGCTGGTGGCAATATATTTACACAGCCACGAAAAGCAGCTGCTCAGCTGAGCCTACTTTTAGCTTGTGCCCTACTAAAATGAATGCAAATCTAAAAGCACTACAAGGGGCTGAGAGACTAAAATTCCTTCAACGTGGTCGTGTGCTGGGGAAGCAGCCCCAGCAGTGCCATCCTGCAAAGCTGCTGCCAGGAGTTTGAGTCTCTGTCTCATCTGTCATCTCCACCATCCCTCAGGGCCAGGAGAGAAGCACAATCTCACAATATTGTTCAATATCACACGCAGGTACAAACAGCAAGTTCATCACACATGTCTCAGCTCATTGCTGAGCACATCCAGCTGCTCTGTACATGTTTGCTGCTACACAAAATCAAGGGGAAGCTGCATCAAACCCAAAGGCAACAGCACTAAATATCACAGCCCTGAGGCACTTTGCTGTTTAGCTCCTATTCAGAAAGGTTTACAATTGTAGTCCTCCCCACTTTGTTCTCAGCCCTCAAGTAATTATTGATCCAAATTTATACATAATTTTTAATTGTTTCTGCAAAGCGTATTCCACAAAGGCAAGGCAGCAAGCAAGTGTAAACCATGATTATTTTTGGGAACACTGAGGGAATCTCAGATGTTTCTCCACCTTATTTGGATACAAAAACATTGCTCTCAGATGTTCAGAAACAGAAAAGAAAAAGAAATTCTGCCCAGACACGTCTGCATGTATGAAAAACAGTGTATGAAAAACAATGAAATGGCTTAGGTGCCTTATTTTTGTTTTAGGATGTCCAGCACTAAGTGAACAGCACTTTTCTCAAGAAATCCATTGCAAGTGCAGCAATCAGTGTGTTGTGCTGAGCAATTTTACATTCAAGAATGTGGTGGGGTTTATTTTAATTCTGCTTTTAAGAAATTCAGGGCAACAAGAATTCAGAGTCTTCACAATATGAATGCTAAGTGTAAGTCTAATCTCCTACACACAGATGTAGATCAACAGCACTTGTTTAAATACTGATAAAAATTAGAACACAGTGAAGCCAAATGAACATAAATATTTCACGTAATATTTAGTGGAAAGTTGCAATAGGGATTTTGTCTAATGAGTAAATACAGCATGAAGCTGTTGAGTCTTCTATCCCTGGGGTAAGATAATTTGAAACACATTTTTTCAGATCAAAAGTGTTATGTTGTCAAATATAAAAGCCCAATTTAGGCTGCATAATATTTAATTAAGAAAACAGCATTCCATACTGTGATTTATTTATTTTTTTAAGTCCAATGCCCCTTGAGTCATTTTATCTTCTTAACTTTAAGATCTGTACTGCGCAAGATCATGGGAAAGGCACGATCAACTTTATTTTCATTGCCAAAAAAAAAAGAAAAAAAGAGAGAGAAAACCTAAAGGGAATCCTGTGAAAACCAAATCCAAACCCATGATTTTCCAATGACCACGTAACTTGAAAAGGCCATAAGCGGAGAGGGGCGTTCTATGCAAGGATGGACGGCAGAGATTTGGGTCACACAGGCACAGGGTTAGGGGAGTTTCCAGGCTGCAGAGGAGCCAGGCAGCCCCTGCTCACCTTGACACTCCTGTGGTGTATCCGGGAGGGCTGGCACTTGACGCTGCTGGTGTTGCAGCAGCCGGTGCAGCGCTTCACCTCCACGCAGGGCGGCCATATCAGGAAGTTGGCCGAGGTGGGGTCGATCTGGCTCCGAGGTATCTCGTAGATCACCGTCCGCGTCTTGCACACCGCCGGGATGGCCTCCTCTGCGGGCACAGGAGAGTCACAACCCCAGGTGAGCTCCCAGGGGGATGAGGTACACGTGGGGTCACTGCTCCCAGTCCCCACTGGTCACTGGTGAGCCAGTGCTGAGCGCTGTGTGCTCACAGCTGAGCTCTGCTCTTACCCTGGGGACAAGCCTGACTCGCTCCCAAAGCCCAGCCCTACAACGAGGGTTTCCAGTGGCCTGGCTCCCGACACAGCTTGGAGCACATGCCATGAGATAAGGCAATCCTGGCTCTGGAAGTGACAGCAAGCCAGGAGCTCCTCCACATTCAATGACTCCCTAGTGCAGAGTGACTGCGACCCCTCAGAGTCACTGTGCAACAGCAGCTGCTGCTTTCCAGCACCTCTTCACACAAATACCATCACACAAACATGAAACACCTAGCAAACACTGCCTCAGAAGTCAAACTGAGGATTATCTGTATCATACCCAATTTGCACAGCTGGGAAGCAACCTGCACCAGCTTGAAACTTTCAAGACTTGGGTTTCCACTTCCAGAACTTTAACATCCCCACATCAGGGAGTCTGGTTTATCCACCATTCCAAAGGGCAACTATTATTTTTCCTGCAGTCATCAAAGCTTTGTAGACGGTGGGTTTTATTTAATTTGTTATTTCTTGAATGATGCAAAACCACCAGAGCAGCATGATGGAAAAACCTGCAGCTAAACCAATATCCTGGAGGGCTCAGGTAAGGTGAGCTTGTTTAGGATTATAGAGAGTAGCTCTGTACTACTGTGTGATGTTGCCATGATCTAAACCATTTATCATCATCAACCTAGGAACTGTTTAAGAAGTCACACTGATATTTCAAAACAGTCCAGAAAAAAAATAGCAATTTCAGGGACAAGTTGTTTGCTGATAAGTTCTCCAAAGACAGCTGGGATTTTTTTTTTTGCCTTACAGTGGAAGCTTGTGATAGCTTTGGGTTAGATGTGTCAGGGAACTGGAACACTGCCTGCACTTCTTCACTTAGTTCTTAAGTACAAGAAGCTCAGGCCTAGCCTGTGCCTGCAACATGGAAATCTAGGCTTAGCTTTGAAAGATGCATCTCAACAGACTAAACAGCGTGAAAATCCTTACGCTCAGCCCCCAGTGCCATGAACTCAAGAAAATTAACAGATGCAATCCGGCAAGATAGCTGGCAACTCCCACAAGGTATTGAGCATACCCAGTTCCCAGCGCCTGTGGTGGGGAGGCACCCAGCACCTTGCAGGGTGAGGCGCCAACGTCGCCGGCTGCTCCAGCACCGCTGCTCTCCCCAGGCAGCCACAGCGCTGCCAACTCACACTGCAAATCCCTGCTGACAGCAAGCTGGGCTGGCTCTGCCTGCCACCACAGCTCCAAGGACAAACACACTGAATTACCCACCAGGGATAGCACCAGGGATGTTTTCCACAGGCCAGTGGAACGGTGGAACACTCACAGGTAATCAGGTGAACAAGCACTGCACATAAATCCTATTTGCATGTCCATTTTTTAATTTATATTTGGGATTTTTTGCATTCTCATCATCATTAATAAGGATAAAATCCCCTGTAAATATGCCTGCTGCCCTACACAGTGATGGAAATCAATGCCCCAGCGTTTCCATCAATGGCTTTTAATTTTTGGGATAAACTGTATTTTTCTTGTGAATAAAGAGTCAAGCTGTTTCCTTTTGTGGAGCTTCTGTACTGAAAACTCTACCAACTGTTGATGTTTTTTAAAGCACACTGCTGTAGTTGTTCCCCACACTATGAATTATACATTGAATATCACAGCATTTTCTAACCGAGGTCTAGCTTTCCAACATGCTGCAACAAGAAAGTGAATGTAAAGAATTTGTGCATGTCTGTCTCCTATGGACATCCTCCAGAAGACAGCTTCTCAGGCAATGGTTCGTTTTGTGCAAAAAGAAAAGCAGAAGCTAGAAATGGCCCTTTTTTCCCTTTGTGCATGTCACATTTTTCCAGTGAAATGTCCTGCTTGGCTGACCAAAGCACCCCCTCTGCTTTCACTCCCAAAGTACAAATAGCTTGTTTCTTACCAATGCTTCTTTTTCTGCGAATGGGCACAGGACGGTTCTCTTGCACATGTTTAGCAGAATGAACACTGTAAGATCTCAAGTTTGTTTCTGAAACATCATCATATCCTAGAACAGGAAACAAAATGTTAAACCTCAGGTATGTTATGTGCACCAGTGTTGCTACAGTGCTGTTCCACAGGTACAAATCTGTGCTGTTCACAGGCACAAGACCAAATCCTGCTACAATGAGTCCCATGTAACCCCTGTTAATGCAGGGCATAAGGCAGGGAAGAAAGACACTGACATTGAATGTCATGTATAAGCATGCACAATTTAATTCCAATATCCATTTTACTGAAAGCTCCCAGAAATACTGCACACACTGTGGCACAGAACCATATCTAAAGTAAAACAGTTGCATTTTTATGTGAATAGCATAATACGGCTTTTCTTACTGGAAGGGTGTAGAAATAGGAACAATAATCCTGCACGTGTAACGTTTCTTACAAACATTTTGATGTTCTGGTATGAGGCAACAGTAGAAAATATGGTATTAGACACAACAGCAACAATGCTGCCTCTGTAAATTTTCTGTTGCTTGGTTTTTCAGGGCAGTACTAGGGCAGAATCAAAAGCAAAAAGTAACTAGCATGGGTTTCCTTTTAGCCTCTCTGTTGCAGAACAAATCCCCTGTGAAGTATCCTAACCTTTGGAGGGGCATCTGAAGCTACTGCAAACTCTGGGACTGCATCCAGGCTTGTCTTGTTCCCTAAATAAGCCTACCACATGGGTTAAAGGGCCATGAGAAAAAGCAAAGATGGAAAACTTGGCATTTCATTTATCATAAAAAACAACAAAATAACTGCTCCAACTATTTGGGTTTGTTAAGTGAAGCAGTTCAGGTCGTGTCCCATGCCGTGGGGTCTGAAAACCACAAGCACAGTCTGCAAACGGGGGATGAGGAAGAAGGAACCAAACAGAGAACTGCACACAGACCCCAGGACACCCAAACTAAGGGGTTTAGCACTCTGCTGCTTGGAGTGTCCTCTGGAACATCACTGCAGAGTTTCAATGTTTCACTGCTGGCTCCTAAGAAAACTCTGACATGCTCTAAAAAAATGCAAAAGGGTATTACACAGTACTCAATTACCCTCTCTGCAAGCTACCAACACCCTCCACTCCCATCTTCTGCACTGTCACACTCCCTGCTTCCAGTTTGTTCTGTACACACAGCTGTCTGTCTCTGGAACGTGTTTTAATCTCAGCTTTATTAGTAACACACATCATAAGGCTCTGCTCCACAAAACAACCAACTCCTGTTCTCCTCCCTCCAAGAAATTGTGCCCTAAGGAACATGCAGCTTGTGAAATCACCTGTACAGCCAGGTGAGGCAGGAAGACAGATGGATCTTCAGCACCTTAGAAAGAGTTCTGCATCCCAGGGTTTATCATTACTTCTTGGAAAATACTACTGCAAGTAGCTAAGAGAAAATAAAATCGGAGGTCCAAGAGGTAGTGCCAGGATCACCCACTGGTCCTGCCGCTTCTCCTTTATCAGCTGAACAGATCCTTGTATGAAATTAGTCATTAGTCTCAATTTATCCAAGAAATTGGCTCCTAGTTCCTATCTATGGTACTTGTTTCCCCTAGATTTCAATGGGAAATTTTGGAACCTGACTAATTAGCTGGTACTGGGCCTTATTTGCCGTCCCAGTCCAGTAATGTAACACAGCAATGACTAAAGGGTATTATTTCTGCTTTTATTGCACCCCATACTCCAGAAAACTCATCAGTGGTATAAATAAAATGGCTTGCCAGAGATCCCACAGGAAGTTTGCAACTGAGCTGGGGAGTGGAGCCAGGTCTCCCACATCCCATTCCAATGGCACCAGGCCATCCACCTGATCCCAAATGGTGTTATGCAAAATGAGGATCCGTTCTGATGTGCCTCCAGCCCTCTTCTGTTTCCTAGCACTCAGCTACCCAACACCTTAATACTGACCTCCTTTTTGGCAGCTTCAAGTTGTCACAACCTCTCCCTCAATTTGAGGCAATGAAGTGATACTTGAAAGCAGCATGAATTCTGCTCAGCCTGAGATCCAAGCTAGGCTGGGAGCAAGAAGCATGTCCGTGCACAAGCAAACAGTGTTTAAAAGGAGATTAAACACAAAAGTAATGCCTCTAATCCCAACTGCTTGGTGGGCACAGGCATCAGGCTGGAAAGGGAAGCTGGCAGGGCTGCCAGTACTACAGCAGGGCTGGGCCATGGCTCCTAATCCCACACTCAGCAATGCTGGCACAGCTCCCTCCTAGCATGAAGGATCCTCCTTGAAAGAAGCTGGTAAGAACCAAAGGACTGGTATGATCAGCTAACCAGTGTGTTAAGTCATGTGCTTACACATAACTGCTCTACTCAGCTGCAATCAGCCTTTTTCCATCACATATTTTAAAGCAAAATGACGCCTCAAAGGGTTGTGTTGCTTATAAGATGATTTCTAACGTGAAGAAGGCCTCTGGTTTATAATGTACCTCACTGTCTCACTACATATCTTAAGCATGTACAGCAGTTCCTAAGTTCATGTCTCTCTGTGAGGGTTGCAAAAACAAATCTACACAGCTAGCTCAGCAGAACAAGCTCCAGTCAAACCTCAATGTGTTATCTAACATAAATTATACTATTTCTACCAACACATCATCAAAGTTTGGTTTAATAAACAGAATCATGGGGCATGGCTGGAGCCAGAAGACACTACAATGCTGAAGGCATTTAAGTGTCCCCCCTGATTCCCACAGGCATTTGGAAGGAATTCCATTTCCCAGTGGAGTCAATGGGAAAATCAATGCACTTCAAGCAATGTTTAAGTCAACAGTCTTGCCCAAGCAGGAGTGAAAAATCACCAAGTCAGGTTTGAAACTCACACTCAGCTCTGAATGTGCGGCCAGAAGACTTCCTTTTCCTTTATTAAAACCATGATGCTACATTAAGGAAGAATGATACTTAATTTGTATCAGTTTTTCCCCCAATGTAATGAATTAGGTGCAGAGTAGCTCTTAGCAAAGGAAATGTGAGTTTATGGGTTAGCACCTCACAAAATGAGGCTTGGAGCAGAAAGCCTAGAAATGGGCGATTCTTAGTTTAGAACTCAAACACTGCTCATCACCAAGTGAAGATGGAGGATGCTGCACAGAGCCAGATTAGTGCAGCTTTCTTTTAATGTTTTAATAATAAAAAAATGTTTTCATGGCAGACGATCAAGAAATTTCTCTGTAATCTTTTATGTACTGACAACATATCAATGATGGGCATACAAACTCTTGCAATTAGCCTTGGTCAATCCATTAGTGTAGCTGAAATTGTTCTTTTTTGTCAGATTGGCAATTTTCCACTGGGTCATGGAATATAAATCACAGAGTTCCTGTGACATTCTGCCAATACATGATTACTCTTTTTACTCAAGAAGCATGTGGAAAGCATCCTAAGTTTACTGCTATTTTCTATTTATCAATTTATACTTTTGAATTTCCATCTTCTTACCAAACTATTTTATGTGAGGTACAACCCCCAACACATCCAGTCTTAATGCAAACCCTTCTAGATTGCACTTTGATACAAAGTACAGATCCAAGATTTCTAGAACCAACAGCAGCAGTTTAGGAAATTCTTATAATCTCATTTTTTTCAGGAATTCAATGTAAGGTATAATAAGCTGAAATGGTCTGTCTCACAATCGTTCCTAGAGCCAGAAAGCCCACGGCAACATCAGTTTGGTTTTTTGATCTTCTTTTTGGCTGATGTAAAATTTGCCCTTCTGACATCCAACTGCAGAGATAGATGTCATTAAATTTTCAACTTTGATCTGTTAAAGGAAATATAAGTAGCAGCTCGCAAGATCCTGTTTTGTTTAGGTTGTTTTTCTTTTTTCCTTTACCTAGGTGTGATCAACCAGCTGTAAAGAAGGAGGAATATTCTCCCATCTGTCTACAGGCCACACATGGAAGATGCCTCTCATGACGTGTAAGAGGTGCAAGAGAAGCCAACACACTGCACTGTACCATCCTTCATGGAGCACCACACCAAAACCCACAAAGTCAAGAGCTCATTTTCCAAAAGACTGAGCTCTGCAGCAGCCCAACACTTTCTCCATGGAAGTATACAGTTAATTTAGAACGTTTCTCCACTTAACAAAAGCTGCTCTGCTAGTTCTTAATCACAGGCCGTTAAATTCACATGGCCTAAGGTGACCCTGGTGGATGCCCTTAACCCGTGCAAAGAGGCACACTCAGCCCTGCCTCTCCCCAGGCAGGCAGATGACTTGGGGAAAAATCTGTTCCCAGCGGGAGGCAAGCATAATAGGTGATGGAATGAACTCTACCTCCCACAGGACAGATGGGAGAGGTGAAGCACGAGGAGGAAAAGCACGCTGCTGAGCCACGGAGAGCTGCACAAGCAGAGCAGAGGAAATGCCCCCGTTTTGGGGGTTTAGTCTGCTCATAGTAAAACTGTACTCTGCACACTAGAGCTGCCTACTTCCTGGGACTGTGCATGCTTTCTCCTTTAAACAGGGTCAGACTCTGCTCTCCTTCATGCCAAGGCAATTCTGTCACTGCCTCTGGATCCCAATTGCAGCAATTTAATACAAGACCCTGTTTCCTGATAGGAACAGAGAATTTTCATGCTGCCTTTACCCTCTGAGTCGGACATGCAGAACTGGGCTCTGACAAACTGGCCTGGATTTTCTTTTTTGAATACAATGATAAGCTCCATGTTGGGTAGTGTTTTTCTTTAAGTAATATGCCAGATGGTCTGGGGGTGTGGTTTCTAATTTTATGAAGGGGGTTATCAGTCATCTCTGTGCTACAATATAGAGACCAAATCTGTCAGAAAAGAAGAAAAACCTGCCCACTCTGACTTACAAAACTTACTTTTCCAATTAAAAATATATGTTTTGCATTGCAGGAGTGAAAATGACTGTTCTTCCTTCATTTTCCACAGATTCCGCCTTGTTACTCAGGAATATCAGACATTTTCTTCATGCATGCCTGATCCTGCAAACTCTTAGCCTACAAGATCATTCTTAATTCTCAAGTCCACCCACTGAGTTTAAACAGGGCTACTCACATGCAGAAGGACTGGCAATACCATGCACTAAAACGAGGGAGAAAATAGTCACTGGAGTGATTTTGTTCTAAGCCTCAGTTGAAACTGAGTACATGCTATAAAAGTGAAATATACCTACTGTACAAGCTCTCACTGAACTGGCTGTTCCCTAAAGGCAATTGCAGCCCTAAGGAAATAAATTTCAGAAATATCACCTTACCAGGGACAACGAGAAAACATTTGATTTGCTAATTCAAGCTAATACTAAATATAGTAAACAGGCCTGATCCTGTTTACTGAGGAAAGCACAGCAATTTCAATACTCGATTAGTCACCCTGATAAGCCTTTAGTAAGAATTACTCACGACAGTAAAGTCTGCAGGACTGTGCCCAGGAAAAGCAACTGTGGGTAGTAAAGCAGGGTTACTCCATGAGAACCCAACCATGAGTAGCTCAGAGCACAGCTTAGCACACAGGCAGAAGCAGCACTCACATAAGCAAGAACCGGGTGAAAGGCTGAATATTTTGGTTTTATTTTTTAATATTGTTTGAGTTCATGTCTTAAGGAATTACTGTTTCACAGTGAAATAGTAAAATATTTATGTCTCTTGTTTCTCTAATGGTCTCTAAACTGACAAATTGCAAGAAAACAGCAAAATGAAACGGGTAAACTTGAGGCTGACCTTCTCCATTTTTGGTCTTGCATCCTCCAGTTAATATTTGCCATGAGATAAATAATTATTTTCTGAAATAAATTTCTTTGCGACATCTACCCATTTATTCAGCTCCTGCCATTGCCCCACTTGTCTGCCTGATTCACTTGCAATGGAGCCACGTGAACTTTTGCTCTCCTTCTAAGTGGTATTTAAAAATGAAGCATGTGCTTGTTGCGCTGAGGTATTTGAAAAAATAATGTATTCTGGTAGCTACAGAACCCTGACTCAAAGGCAGGAGCAGTATGCACTATTTTAAAATGCTAGCACTCAGATCCAGCCCTTCTGCAACAGCAGCCAACTCCACCAAGTTCACTGGGAAAAAGATTTTAGCAGTAGTGCACTTGTCTGGTCCAAAACAGCCTTCAGTGAGGAAATATGAACTGCACACCCCTTCCCAGTTGTGAAAGTTTCTTTAATTGTGGTGATAAACAACACTGATGAAGCACTGCTCTCCAAAAATACTAAACCAATGCCAATCTGGTAATTACTAATTAGCCTCTATGGTAAAGTGTTGTGCAAGACAGAAATACTCCCATTTTCAGTGTAATGGGAAAACGTTTGCTCTCTAATCACATGAAAATTGAAAGCTATGACTGTAAAATACGTTCCTAGTGCATTCCTGCTCGTTAATAGAGCACTGCACAAAAAGCAGAGAGTTCAACTCTAGAAGGATCCTGCAACTCTGAATGAAGGTGATTGAACCTGGCACAGAGTATACAAAAATACACAGCATATGGTTTAAAAGGAGATGGCCCAGTACCAATGCAAGCAAGAACTCATTCATTTTTCTCCATGTTTGTGCTTCAGCAAGATGCAGGCTTCCCCTGGGCACATCAAAGGTGCCGGGGTTTATTCTTGCTCTCTAGTGAGAGAAGAAATCACCAGGAACAAAGTGCATCAAGTGAAACCAAATGATAAGGAACGCAGCAATACCATGCTTCTAGATCAGATTTACTGCTGCAACGATCTGTTAAACTGCACGTTCTCACTACACCCATTTGCATGCCTAATGATGCAGAAAATAACCCTGCACTATTCTCTTTTGGAAAAAAAAGGAAAAAAGTGTATTTTTGAGGGTAAGCTTCATATGCAGGTTTCTGTTTAAAATCAGTGCGGACCGTTTATTTTCCTTTTAATAAAGCCCAGCACTTGAAGAGACATTACTTCATTCATAAATATTGTTTCAAATATTTTAAATACCTCTAGGACAGTAGTTTAAAGATAACACAGCAATGCAAGACCAACAACAAACCTTACGGCAATTCTTCTCCGCTGCGAGACGGAGAGAGCTCTAAAAACACGGGGGGGTCACAAGGTCCCTCTCCACCCTGAACCCCAGGAAGTTTCAATCCCCGATGGGCCCCTTGGCCGCCGCCTCGCTGTGACTCGCACCCGGGGCCGCCCGGCTCTCGGTGCGGTGCCCGCACGGGGGTCTCGGGCGAGGCGTGCGGGGAGCGCGGGGCGAGCGGGGCCTCCCCCCGGGGCGGCGGCGGCCGACGGCGCGGAAGGAAGGAGGACGGGACTAATTTACCTACGGAGTCAATCTCCAGGAGGCGCTGCAAGTCGCGGATGCTGTGGATCTCGCTGTGCGCCAGCCGCTCGATGAGCTCCTGCGGGATCTCGGCCTCCTTCAAAGACACACACACCGCGGGTCACCGCGCAGTCCCGCCCGCAGCGCCGGGCATCCGGCGCGCCGCGCCTCTGGGCTCGCCGGGGAGGGTGCGGGGTGTTTGCGAGACATGCGGGGATGAAGCGGGGGGAAAATCCACGCGCGCATCCCCCCACAGCGCTCCGCGGGGCGCCGGAGCGCTCCCGCCGCCCCCGCCTGCGCGCCCGAGGGGGCTGCGCGCCGCCCGCCCGACTGCGCCACGGCTCAGCGGGGCGGCAGCTGCGCACGGCCCCGCCTGGCAGCGTGTGCCGGCAGCGCCGAGCCCCGCCGGGCGGCTGGAGCACACCCCGGGCAGCGGCTGCCCAAGTTCCCCCGGGCGGGTGCCAAGTCTCCCGCGGGCGCGAGGTCCCCCGAGCCGGGCAGCAGGAGGAGGAGGAGGAGGAGAACCGCGTCCCACGGGGCGCCGCCATCCTACCAGCGCCCACGTCGCGGCTGCCGGTGCCAAGCAGACCGGGTCCCGGGAAAAGTTAGAGCCGCTGTGCAGCGCCGAGCACCGCGCTCGCCCCGACCGGGACCACCTGTAGCAACCCCGGGACGCGGCTCCGCGCCCCCTCCGTCCCCTGCGGGCAGGCGGGCGGGAGAGCTCCCGACTGCTCCGGGGGAGATTCACAAAGCGGGGAGCGGCGTTTTGGGGCGCGGGGGATTCAGCCAAGTTCTGCCCGCGGCACTAGCGGTGTCCGCAGCCGCCGTGTGCAGCGCTGGGCGCCGCGGGGGCGGCCCGGCTCCGCGCACCCTCGGCTTCCGCACAGCCGCAGCCCGCTGGCACCCGCGGGGCGTGAATATTTTATCATATATTTATTATATATATATAATATATATTATATACATATTAATTCTTAAGGGCGGCCAGCAGCCCGGGCGCGGAATGCACGGTCATTCCCCTTCGCTTCTGCCATGCATGAAATGGCAACTTGCTGCCAGGCTCGGCCGCGCAGGGCCCGGGGCAGGGCAGCGCTCCCGGCGGGGCCGGGGCGCGAGGATGCCCGCGGAGCCCAGGTGGGCAGCCCGTTCCCTCCCCGGTGCCCTCCGCCGCCGCTCGCCCCGACCCCCGGCTGCGCCGTGCCCCGGGGACCGGCAGCGCAGGAAGCCGCTCTCACCTACCTCGCAGAAGGTAAAGGACAGGTACCCAAAACCTATCAGCAAAACGCAAGCCCAGGTCCTCATCGCGGTCTAGTGCACTTTAGACACGGAGGGAAGGCAACGCTGATGGAGAGGGGCTGCAGGCCGGCTCCTGCCGCGCAGGAATTCAGTACCATCCCTCAGGGGAAAGGCAGCGGGGTGGCTCGGGGGTCCTCCGCATCCAGGGTGGGTCGGGGCTGCCCGGGGCGGCGGTGGCTTAATGACGGCGCGGCCGCTGTTTGTACGTTCCCCTCGCTACGGGAGCGTGGCTGCTCTCCCTTCTGCCGCTCTCGCTCGCTCCTCTTGGCTCTTAGGACTAGACCAGCCGGTACTTCTGCATATTTGCTTAGATCAGACCAAAGTGAAACCCAAGGAGTCGATCCGGAGCGCAGCCGAAACGCCCATCACCTGTCTGGGGCGGCTGCCCCCCTCGCGCGGGCGGCGCTGGGGCCGCCTCCCCCCGCCGCGGCCGCCGCTCCGCGCCGCGCCGGGACCGCGGGGCTGCGCTCTCCGCCGAGGGCCGGCCCCCCCCGCCGTGCCTGCCCTCCACACCCGGCCCCTCCGCGGAGAGGGGAAAAATCAAAAATCTTTATTGATAAGGAGAGAAATGTTTCTCTTGCCGAGAATGGTCCCGCTTCCCTCCCCGGCTGGGGCGAGGTCAAAAAATAATAATTAATTAGGAATAATAGCAGGGACAAATCGGAGCGGTATTGCAGGATCTCGCGGGCTGCCTTGGTGCAGTTCCTGCTCCACTTTGCACGGGAGAAAAAGACGGGAGGAGGAGGAGGAAGGAGGGGGAAAAAAAAATATATATATATATATATTCAAGAAGGTTTAAATCCCAAGGGGATCGGAGACGAACTGCAACTCCAGGCAGAGGGAGGCTCGGGGCTCGCTCCGGAGCGGTGGCCGGTCTGGAGCGTGGCCCCGGCGAGGAGCAGCATATAGCGCTCCCGCCCTGCCGTGCGCCGCCCCCGCCCCTCCTCCCGGGTACTCCCGGCACCAGACCCACCAACAACAAGTCGTGGGGGTGCCGGCAGCTGCGGCGCCTGCTCCGGGGCCAGGGGCTCTGCCCACTGAGAGGGGAAAACAAGGAGCCGGCGGCGGGCAGGGGTCGGGCGGAGCGGGGCAGCCCCCGCCGCCGGCCCTCTGCGGCACCGGGCGGAGGGGCGGGCGCTGCTGCGCAGCAGCCGCCGTGTAACCTGGCGGGCTCGGCCGTGTGCTCTGCCTTTACATAAGGCAGAGCGGATCGCCATGGCCACGGCGCGATCGTGTGTGCGTGTGTGTGTGTGCTTTCTTATCGTTGTTATTCTATTTTAGCGGGGGGGACTTGCCTTTTGCAGAAGGGGAGGGGCAGAGCGGCGGAGGGTTGTGGTGTGCGGCTTTTAACGTTGCTGTTGCAGCGCAGCCTTCATTGCGAAGGACGACACACACGCGCAGCCTTGAGGAATACAAAAGCACCCCCAAACTGCACGAGAGGCAGGGGGGGCGGTGCGGGCGGGGGGCAGCGGAGCCCTCCGCCCTGCGGCACCCGGCTGCGGCATGCGCGGGCGCGGGGCTCCCCGCCGCGGCCGCGGGCACGCCGCGCCCCGGGGCTCCGCCGCAGCCGGACCCAGCCTCCGCAACTGCCCGGGCACCCCGCAACTGCGCAACTGCCACAGCCCCCCGCAATTGCCCCAGACCCCCGCCCTGGATCCCCGCAACTGCCCCGGCCTCGCACTCCGCACCGATCCTCCGCAGCCGGCCCGGGCCCCCCGCAGCTCGTCCCGAACCCTGCAGCCGGCCCGGGCCCTCCGCAGCCCGTCCCGAACCCCGCAGCCGGCCCCGAGCCCGCCCAGCTCGCGTTCCCTTCGCGTCCTCCCTCCTCGCCGCCCCGGAGAGAAATTGCCCCCGTTCCCCCGGCGCGGATTGGCACAAGGTGCCTGCTGCACCCTGACATCTCCCTGAACTCATTGTGATTTAAATAACAGCCCTTTCTCATCTAAACAAAGGTTCTTAATAGCAGATGCAAAGAATTCAGCTCATCTGAAAATCCAATAGCATTTAAGTGGATTAACTGCAATAACACAACTGAGGAGTGATACTATCCTTCATGGAAGACAATAGACTGTAAATGCACAGCCAGGGAGACTTATCCTTTCATCTCTGAATTTCCTTCAGCATTTCAAAAGCGAATGCTTTCTAGAAGCCCTGAAGGGGTTTGCACGCTACTGGCTTGGACATGCTTCTAGGAAACAACCTGTGCTTTAATGGGCACTTTGCAATTGCATAGAAGTTCCCACCAAAACAGAAGTGGCCTTTCAAGTACGTTTAATTCTCTCTCATGATGTCATGTAGGCTTACAGGGTGGTCTCCAGGACCACAAGGGGGGGAAAAAAAAGGTGGGGGTTGAAAAGAGAGAGAAAAGGAAAAGAGATGTAAAAGATTTGGAAGCACTTTAAAAAGGAGAATGCTGCTGCTTTTTTTTTTTTTTTTTTTTTTTTTTTTTAAGACAGAAAATGCTGAGCCAGTGTGGAGCCATTCTCAAATGCCTCCTGATATAAAAAAAATGATCCGAGTGCCACACTGCAGCAGAGCTATCCATGCAGGGCAGGAGGAGGCAGAGCAGGGCAGGACACTCTGGTAGTGCCATCACTTTCTTACATGGCAGAAGTAAAAAGCAATTACTTCAGTTAAAAAAAAGGTCTCATCTGCACAGTCTCATTTGCTGGGGTTAAAGAAGCAATTCTTATGGTCCGTGTTGTCATAGTAATAAAAAAAATAATTACTAAACAGTGAAATAGATTCTGACAGTACTGGCTGGCTGAGCATTTAGTCCTCTCCTTCCTTTCTTGGTTGGCTAGTGCATTTGGGATCAGAAGTGCTGTATATTTGTAGTTCTTGCTAGTGGTATTTCATTGCAAAAGCCAGCAGAGATAACTCTTGTTTTATCTTATGGTAAAAAAAAAAAATCTATGCAGTTTTGATTTTTCTTATATTCCCCTTATTTTACAAGAGACATACTGCATCAGCATCTTTTTTTAATCTGTCATTGTGGAGCTCAGATAAGCATCTTTCCTCTGGGTCAAGTTACACTTGGAGTAGCTTTTAACATTAGACTGTTTATAGGGATCATTACAAATATTTGCTAATAATGCAAAATATGTAAGATCCCAGAGGAGAGCAAAGACCAGGAAATATAAATAAAATTCACACAGATTCTGCAAACAACTTCATACTTAGGTTGTCTGTCTGCTTACAAAACACATTTTGTCCTTGTCTATTGTTTGATCTAAAATTGCATTTGTTCCCTCTAAGTCCCTACATACAGCTGTGTGAAAAACAAAACACCAGTGCATGTTTGCTTCAGCATGGCACCTTCCTGCACATCTATTGCACATGTGTGCACCAAACATGAAACATCACCTTTTATGTAATACCCACAAGCCACCCATGAGGAAGGAGTGACAGTATGGTAGTTACAGGTTTAAAAGGAAATCAGTACCAAGAACAGAGTGTCAGAAAATTAGATTTTACACTTTTTTATTTATCTGAGAGCAGCGAGCAAGATATTGCTTGTCTAATTTAAAGCACGCACTGTTAGAAGTCTCTCGAATGTCAGGAATTATAATAGAATTACACCATGACAGAGTGTTGAGAGGGAGGATTCCCAGGGTTTGCACAGCACTTGGCATGGGGGAAGGGATGCAGAAGCTGACATGAAATGAGACCACTTCAGTGTCACCAGAGCTGCTTTCTGAGGGTGGAGTCACTGCAGCCAGGGTGCCCCAAATCAGGCTTCCAGCACCCACTACAGAGCTCGTTTAAATCTCTGCTGGCTCAGCTCTTAGGAACACAGGCGAGGCAATGCAACAGGACCAAGTGATGTTTCACAGGTGCACACTGGGGCTGGGGGAAGGTCACTGGGAGAGGTGCAGCCAGGGATGGCCAGCAAGGTGGGCGTGGTGGTGCTCAGAGCGCACTGAAGCCATTGGCAGCACTGGGCTGGCTCTGAGATGGTACCTGAGGCCCAGGGCATCTATTTCAGAGCTCAGGCTGGAACTGTGCTTGTTTGATCCTTCTGACAAGAGGAATCATTTCATTGCAATGACATTCCTTGGGAAACCTGAGTTTTTTCAGATTTGATTTTAGTGAGGTTTTTGCCTCATAGATAATCCAGTTAAAATTAACAAAACAATGGGTTTGGGTAAGGGTTTTTGTTGGAAGAGTGGCCTGCTTTCATTGCAGTGTGTGTTTGGGGCTGGCCAAAGCTGCTCAGTGTGTTCCGCAGGGTACATCCTGCCACCACATCTGTCCTGGCTCTGGAAAGGAACCATAGGAAATACTCTCAGCAGTTTGGACCTGCACCATTCTGTCAGTGCCCCACGGTGTATAACAGAGGATAAAAGTGCAGAACATCAAATCCAGAAATCTGGACAGGAAGATCACCAACTTTGGGTGGTTCCTCTCTGGTTTTGAACATTTTTTTGGCCTGTAGCTTCAGAGGGGCATGTGGCCATGGTGGGGGGAGGTCATTTTCCTGCTCTGCAGCTCAGTTGCTGCCTGCCTGAGGAAAGGCATGAGGCTGGCACAGGTGCAGGTGCAGTGCAGGCAAGGATTACAAATGCAGTAGGCACTGATGGCAGACACACCATTCCCTTTCCTGAATCTCAGCCCATAAAGAGCAGCAAGGAAAGCTGCAAGGAGAACAACCAAGGCTGTTGTTATTCCAGCTAGTGCACCTACAAACATTATTTCCTTCTTTTCCAGTTCTTCCTTTTGGATCCTTGCACTGGCTCTGTCCATCTGGCTGAGCTTTGTTATCTTTGTAACTTTTGTTGGTGCAGCTTATCAGATGCTTTCACAGTTGATAATTTTCTGAAATAGTAATGAAATGCAAATCTGCGACAAAGTTTCAGCTAAGAGGAGTGATCAGAAGTGGTGTGGAAAGATGTTATGATGTCTCTGCCCCAAACACAGAGGGTGGCCGTGGCCAGCATCCACTTATGTGGGTTGACACTTAAACCTACAATATTTCTGGAAATATTTTGCTCTGCTATGAATGGGGCAGGGTCCCTGTTGAGCTGATCCTCCACCCAAAACTGCCCTTTTGACTTCAGTGGGGGTTGGACCCAATTGTCTCTGGAGTCATTACTTGGTTTAATAGCCAAGACACAGTTAGTAATGCTCTTGCTAATGTGCTCCTCTCTCCCCCAGTGCCCAGCTGCTCCTTAGCCAGGAGCTTCAGCAGCACAGCTGAAAGTGAGGGACTGTTTGACCTTCCCTGCTGCCACAGCCACTGCTGAGTGACACACACTTCACCTTCAGGGCTGGAGCACGAACTGGCAGCCCTGCCAGCCTGGGTAGCAAGATACCATGTTTAGGCATTAAACTAGGGCACTTGCATACCAGCACTGGCCGCTATTTTAGTGGGTATATGAAGCTGATCCCTGCTCCCCACCCCTG